AAAAAAAAAAAAAAAAGTGAATACAAGATAATATGGTGTGGTATAGTTAAAATCTAGGTATATAGTAGTTTGAAGGTAAAATCCAGAGGATTTTCTTTAACAGCAGATGTGGGGTATAACAGAGAAAAAGGAATCAAACATGACAGCAAAGTTTTTTACCTGGGTTAAAAAAAATAGCTGTGATTCACTGAACTGAGCAAGGTTGAGAGAAGAGTAGCTTTAGGAAGATCAGGAATCCCATTTTGGACACATTAATTTGAGTTCTCTATGCAGCATTCAAGTGAAAATGTTCACTAACCAATAAAACATACACTTCTTTCATAAAGGGAAGGTCAGTACTTGATGTAGACACCTAAGAGTCATCAATGTATAAGTGATATTTAAAACCATCATGTAAAGGTAAAAAATCCCAATGATGAATGTAACTAACTATACTGTATACCTAAAATGCACCAATAAACTCAATGAGAAAAAAAAATAAAATAAATAAAATAAAACCATCAGACTGGGTCAACTCATCAAGTCTACAAGGCTAAATAAAGATTTTAAAACGAGAATATAAAGAACTGAAAAGAAAAAGCCAAAACGATTAGGGGTAAAAACAGGAAAATGAGTCCTGACACCAGTAAAGAAAGGCCTGGGTGGTATCTAATGTGTCAAAATGCTACTATTATTCAATTAAGATTCACTGGCTATCAGATTCTGCATCATAAGGATCATTGGTGACCTTGAAAAGAGCAGTTTTAGCCAAGCCTGACTGAAGAGCGTTGAAGGGGTAAAAAGACACTGGAGAGATAGTAAATAATAATAACTCTTACGCGTTATCTGTAAAAGAGGGAAAATGATGTTTATTGAAGGGACTAATTCAGGAATTTGAATTTGTTTTGTTTTGCTTTTGTGCGACCACACCTGGAGTAAATTCAAGAGAATGTATTGTATAGCAGCACTAAGCAGGGACTTGGCTCGGCCAAAGATAGAAAATAGAGACTGATTCCGTAGGGCATACAGAAGGGTGCACAAGTCAAGGGCAGAGTCAACAAGAAAATACGGGGCTGTGATTTGGAGCTTGGCATACCACATCACATTAGCCTTGCCACACATAATATCATAAGGGTCTAGTATTCCCCGGGAACTCAAGAATTTAGTAAAGAGGACATACCTCTTGTGGAGTCTCACACACAGCCAATCCCACAAGGCCAGTGGTCTGTTAAAAAACAAAGCACGATTCATATAGTGTTCACTATGGTTTAGAGGCGTGCACATCCCCCTCCCCTCAAGGAAAAGCAAAACCACGACTCCCCAGACTAAACAGGTCTAAAGCCAGCTACCGTTCTCTCCACTCCGCTTCTTCGGAGCTTTTCTACCTCTGAGAGCAGAGACGCTAACGTAAGCCACCCCACTGTTTTGCCCGCATCAGTCATGGCCATCACCCGCGAAAAAGGGGTTGTAGAGCTGACTCTCACGGTCTAAATGTCAACAGTGACCTCCATTCGTCTCACCTTCTTCAGCACACCCGCCATGACAGCGTCCGAGAGCGGACGGACGACGCGCAAACCCAGTGAGAACCTCACTCAGACCCGCTCAATCGACAGCCGAGGCCGCCTCTCCGTTACCTTGGAGATGCCTTGGCTCCACCCCCTCAGGATCTCCGGAAGGAGCGAAGGTTCAGTTCCGCGCATCCCAGAAGAGAAAAATTGACGCCTGCGTAATGACTACGCAGGGGTCTAAACTAGATTTGGGGACAACTGGGAAGTTTAGTGTTCCTGCGCCTGTCCCTGCCACCAGTGACTGCTTGTCCAAAGGCCGAGGGAAATTCTAACGACTGCCCAAAAACTTCGATATATTTTATCTATAGGAACATGTATTCTGCTTAACCTTTAGCAAATTTTCTTTCTTCCGCAGCTATTAAAATGAGTTTTGTTGTGAGATTTGAGCTGTGTCAAGTGCTCTCATCTGCAGATTAGTTTTTATCACAAGGTTAATGTTTGGTCTATGAAGCAAAAAATAGCATTAGTGCGAGACAATTTTCCATCGCTTTTTTCACTCCCATTTCGCTGCTCAAGTTGATCTGTTTTCACGTTTTTCCAGTAAGTGATTTCAGACCATATCGCTTTTCCCGCACTGAACCTTCGCGAGAGTTTATCGGGTACTCGTTATGTGGGACCTGATTTGTAGCAGGATCTCACGTTCTAGAATTAACTGAATAATAATGTAAAGCATATATTAATAATGTGTTTGTAAATGTTCTGAAAGAGGTTGCTCTAAGTGCCCTGGTATCAGGGAAGAAGAAATAGGTAACCAAAAAATTGCAGATGACTGGCATTAAAAATAGAATTTTCAAAGAGTGGGGGGAAGAGCACAAGTTGACACAGTGCATAACTACAGTAGCTCCTCTGCGTCATTGTATGTATATACATACATACATACATAAAATAGAAACATTTATTTCAACATAGCGATTGATTGGTTAGGTAAACTGGTACACTTATGACCTTGTATGCCATTTTGAGGAATTTGAAATTTTACTCTAAAGAATGGAAGTGCGCGTACACACACACACACACACACACACGATAGCTTTACTAGTAAATTCTACCAAAAATTTAAAGAGTGCTCCTTCAAAAACTGTTCTAAAAAATAGAAGAGATGAGATCATTTTGTAACTCATTGTATAGGTAAGGAATACACTTTTACCAAGTAGATAGAGACATTACAAGAAGTGAAAATTTTAGATAAATATCCCTTATAAATAGTTGCAAGCATCCTTAAAAACAAAATACCTGAACGCTAAATTCAGTCACACAAAAATGAATTGTATTCTATGACCAAGTGAACTTAGTGCAAAAATATGAGCTTGGCTTTACATTCAAATATCAGTTAATGTTCCATTTAATAAAATAAAAGATAAAAACTACATGATGATTTCAGTAGATGTAGGTAACGCATTTGAAAAAATGTCCAATTATTTTGTGTGTCTCTGTATCCTCCCACAAACTAGGAATACAAGAGAAATTCTCTGAATATCAATAAGAAGAACAAATGTTCACTCTTACCATTTCCATTCAATATTTTATGTAAAGTTTCAGCCAGAGCAATTAGGAAAGGAAAAAGAGTGGGAAAAAGCCACCCTGAATAGACAAAAAGAAGTAAAACTATCTCATCACAGATCTATTATATACAAAAATATTAAGAAATACATTCATGCACACAAACTTTTAAAGAAAATATATTGACCAAGATTGAATTATACCTGATCGACAAGGATCAGCTTAGGCTACCCAAACAAAATACTGGTGGCTTAAACAATAAAAACCTATTTTTCACACTTCTTGAGTCTGGGAAGTCCAGATCAAGGCCAGAAAGGTTTCATTCTGAGCCCTTTTCTCTTGGCATGTAGATGGCTGAATTTAAGTATCTGTGTGCCTTCCTGCACTTAGGGTAGGGTTGGAGGGCAAAAGGTAAGAAAGGCACAGAAGAAGGCCCTTCTTTCTTCTGAAACTAAGAGTCAATCAAATGCCATCCATAATAGTCAATTGTGATATCAACCTAAATGGGTTATGAAATGCCTATCAGATTAATGTAGCACAGCTCTAGGTGTGTCTGTGGGGGGTGGGATCCATGAGGGTGTCGATAGCACCAATAGGCTTATTGCTGGCAAGGAATACAAAAGGAGGAAGAAGGAAGTTTTCCCTTTTGCTTCTTTGGGGTAGCTTCGGTCTTCACCATCGCCTTTGGACATTGGCATCTACTTTCTTGAGGCTTCCATCACAGACTCAGCTTTCCAGAACAAACCCTTCAGGCTTCTAATACAGACTCACGTCAGACTCTGCAGAGAGGTTCAGGCCTTCACCTTTCAGACATTTGACTGAATCCTCTGACTCTTCAGGGCACAGACAGTCATTCTGCATTCTTCAACCCCAGACTCCACAAGTGGCTATTGTAAGCATACTCTGTAAATCCATTTATATATTATATATGATATGTTAACTACATTATATTACTTTTGTGAACCATGACTGATACACTTTCTCTGATCCTATTTTGTTGTGAGTTAGGGCTTTATAATGTGCATTTTGGAGGTGCATAACATAATCCATAGCAATCAATATTAAAAAATCTATTCTAGCAATGAATAAACTGAAAGTTGAATTAAGGGTATAATTCCATTTACAACGGCATTGGAGAGAACAAATAGATAAGAATAAATTCTAACTAAAAAGTGTAAAATTTGTACACTGAAATCTTTAATGTGCATGAAATTTCAAATGAACAAACACACCCCCACATTTTTTAATGTGAAGACAATATTCTAGGATAGCAATATTCCTCAAATTGAGTATATGTATGCATACACCCACAAATACACACATACACACACACACACACACACACATATTCAGATATATTGTAGGCCATGGCTTATACCACTGTGGAGGCTAAGAAATGTCATGATCTGCTCTGTCCAGGCTGGAGGCCCAGAAAAGCTAGTGGTACAATTCAGTCCAAGTCCAAAGTCCTGAGATCCAGGATAACCAGAGGCATAAATCACCATCAAATTTTGGAGGACCTGGAACCAGCAGTCAATGGGCAGAAGAACATTGATATCCCAGACCAAACAAGGAGAATGAATTCACCCTTCCTATGACTTGGGCCTTCAGTGGTTTGAAAGCTGTGGACCCATTGGTGAGAGTGATCTCCTTTATCCTAGTTGATGAATTCAAATGCTAATCCCTTCTACAAACACCTTCACAGATAACAGGCACAACCAAAAATTATGTTTTCCAGCTATCTTAGCCCAATCTACTTGTATCCTACTCTGTCCTACTGGTTCTGTCTGTCGTACTGGTTCTGTTTCTCTGGATAACTCTCAAAATACAAATTGTGTCACCAAAAATATGTATGTTGTATGTACCTAAAAAAATCTTCTTTAAAAATAAAGTCATTGTGGATGTAATTAAATTAGCATGCAGTCATTAGGATAGGATCTAATATGGCTGGTATCTTTACTAAAATGGGAAATTGGGGAATGAGAAACACATGTACCAGGAAACTGCTGTGTGCAAAAGTTAAGACAGAGATCGAATGATGCTTCTAAAAACCAAAGAATGCCAAATATTGTCAGAAAATCACAAGAAGTTAGGAGATAAACATGGAACAGATCCTCTCTCCATCCACCCAGTGGAGAAACAAATACTGTTATCACACTGAGTACAGACTTCTAGTCTCCAGAAAGTTTCTGTTGTTTAAGCCACTGTTTGTGAAACTTTGCTGCATCAATCCTAACAAGCAAATACATTTTTATTTTAGTTTGATCATATGTCTCTTCCTTAAAATAGCTATTCCTAGAAGCAGGAATCATGAAGATACAATATTTCTAGTACTGACTACCCAAGAATAAGCCTTTTCAGAAAGTGCTAGTTAAACTTGATCAATTTGATCGGATTAAGAGAATGATGGAGAGGCTATTGGATTGTGCGGATACTAACCTCATCAGTGGTTAACTCACTGATATGTTCATAGCTGAATGGGCTATCTGTAGGTGTGTTTAGTTGGAGGAAGCAGGTATAAGGGGTGTGACTTATAAGAGGTCTGAAGCCCAACCTCTTGCTTTCAGACGTCTTCCCTTGCTCTCTGCTTCCCAGATGCCATAAATTGAGCAGTTTTCCTCCCCCATATCCTTCTAACATGATATCTTTGCCTTGAAGCCTGCCAACCACGGACTGAGCTCTCTGAAACCATGAGCCACAATGCACCTTTCCTCCTCCAAGTTGCAGATATTAGACATTTCATCTCAGCAATAGGAAAGACAATTGATACACACAATTACTATCATAATTTTTTAATTTCTAGTCACCCACAATTAAAAAGTAGGATATATTAACAAATATATACATGTTTTAACTACATTGAAAGATATACACATGTGCATGTCTGTGTGTATGTAGAAACTATTACATTGGAGCTAACCATCTGATATATCCATTTGCTCCTCTGTGAAGTTATATAAATACACATGCATGCACACACACACACACAGAGGCACGCACAAATCACTGTTTTTCAGGAAGTCACATTTGGATTGGGATAACTACCCTTATTTTTTAAAACTGACAATGATAATATAGCCCCTGGGACTGAGATAAATGGAACTTTATGATACCATGGTCTTTGTTCCCCAATCCTCCAGATTCTAAGCATGTTTTCCATTGTGGGATATCTTCTAGAATACAGAATCATATGATTATGATTGTGTTTTCAGGTGTTGTAACTTTGGATTCTGCATTCTGCTATACCATATTTATGAAAGACACCAAGGTAGAGAGACCTGGCTGATCCTGGTTAAAGTACTGCATAGCTGCCCATTTCCATGTGGTGGGAAAATGTGTTGATTTTGTGAGCTAATTCCTTTGCAAAGGGGCAGAGCTATGTGTGGAAGTGATTTAATAATGGTGTTCTGTATTTATTTAATAACTTGCATTAACCATGAAGGGATATCATTCTTGGCATATATGATATCAGAAGAGGATTCAAGAATGTCTTAATGTGCATACAAGGGAATCAAATGCACTACATTCTCAGGTGGGAGAGGTGCATTGTGTTACCAAGAGGGGCAAG